ATTTTCATGTTATAGAAAGTGTAAAATAAGGCTCAGAAAAGTTTACGAATTCATCCAAACTTACACAGCTATTGCCGTAACAAAGTACCCCACATTATATGGCTTAAAACAATAGAAATGTATCCCCTTACAGTTGTGGAGGATAGGAGTCCAAAATCAAGATGTCAGCAGGGTCGTGCTCTCTCCAAAGTCTCTAGGGGAGAATCATTCCTTGCCCCTTCTAGCTTCTGGTGGCTCCCCACATTCCTAACCTTGTGACAGTGTCTGCCCAGTGTCTCCACGTGGACTTCTTTCCTCAGTGTCTCTCTGGTCCTTCATATGTGGCCTTCCCTGTGTTTCTATGTGTTCTTTTCTTTTATAAGAATGCCAGTCATTGGATTCAGTACCCATCCTAATCCAATATGACTACATTTTAACTATTTTCAATCTGTAGGGTCACATTCTGAGTTTCTAGATGAACATGATTTTGTAGGAGGGATAGTTTTCACTCTGCTACAACTATAAAATGGTAGTGTGATGATTTAAATCTGACACCATTTCAATAATTTTTCATTCTGAAGTTAGAACCTCAGCTATTAAGTTAAAGTTAAAAGTGATGTCAAATTTTAGAGTTATTTTGAGAAAAGATGTGAGAGCATCAGTTAGGAGCTTTGCGCATGTCATAATTTCTGACTAATATCCTAAATACAATGTTACTGCTGATTTTAAGGACATTTGATACATATTTTATGACTAGAGATTTAGGATGTGTTACTATAGATATTGTTGGTTGAACAAGGGGTCTCCCAATCCAAAATTTTCTGGGGCTTGTTTTTTTTTTTTTTTTTTGTTAACATCTCTGCATACCGGGCCTGTAACTCAGGGTTTTCCCCAAAGCTTGTTTAAATCATGTGCCTTCTATCAGGGAAGAACATAGTTCCATGGTCTAATTCATTTGGGAAATGCCAAGCCAAACCAGGTAAGACAGATTGCTTTATTGTAGTATATAATTTCTTGTTAGCATTGTTTTCATTTATTAGGGAGTTTTGTGAATTTCTAAGAGATAGGTATTGTGAACATTTTTCCATATTGAGCATTTTCAGAAACTAATCTGTGCTACACACTTTGGCACACCTACTTTGGGTCTTTTCTCACTTAACTACGTGCAGATAAGTTCTCTTTTTCTGGAGGTAAATTTGTGAAGACACTTCTCTTGGGTTTTAGAAATTGGTTTTGAACCCCTCTGTAATGGATGAGATTCCTGATAGAAGAGGAAACACTGATGGGCTGCACTAAGGTACTACTAATTTATTGGCCAACTCATTTACTCATTCATTTATGCGCTCATTATTTCACAGAGACACATGGAGCCCAGGGAAATAACTATAACATAAAGATGATTGAGAAAGATGATTTCTCTTCGTTAAGTTATCCAAATAATACACATTGATCACTATTTCCCACAGTAATTTTAATAAATGGAAGCCACATGTTATGGACTAAATTGTGTTGCTTTCAAAGTCATATGTCTGAGTCCTATCTACTAGTACCTTATCATGTGACTGCATTTGGAAATAAGGTCCACATTAAAGAGGTAATTAAGGTTAAATGAGGTTATAAAGGAGGGTCCCTAATCCAATACAATTAGTGCCCTTATAAATAGAGGGAGTGACACCAGAGATGCCTGGGCATAGATAAAAGGCCATGTGAAGACACAGCAAGAAGGTGTCCACAACAAGCCTAACTAAGTAAGAGAGAGACCTCAGGAGAAATTACACCTGTTGACACCTTGATCTTGGATTTCTAGCCCCTAGAACGTGGAGAGAATAAAAATTTCTGTTATTTAAGACACCCGGTCTGTGGTATTTTGTAATGACAACTGGAGCAAATCAAAGCACCACTGTTAATTGTTTATTAGGTCCTTGCCTTCAAGAGCTTTCCTCAGCTAGTTGTAATATCTACCAAGCCTTTATAATTCCTTTATTTATATTTTAGAAGAATTTTATCAAAACCAACTAGATTGTAAACTTCTTGAGAACAGGCCTTTGTCCATTGTATAATTGCATTTTCACACTGACTCACAGATAGCAAACAGTAGTAGAATAAATATATTATCTACATTTCTACTTTTATCTGTACATTAGTAATTGAGAGATGACCTAATACATCTCTTGGAGAGAGCAAGAAATAAGAAAAAGAGAACCACAAAGTGTTAAACCCATAGTTAGAAGTTTCAAATGTCTTCTTATTTATTACTTTTCTTCTATTTTGAGATAAATATCTTTATCCCATTTTGCAGATGAAGAAACAGAGTTCAGAGAGGGATCATAAAATCATAAAATGTCATCAGTTGCGTAATTTTAAAAAACAGAATATCTGGCTATACAGCAGAACTAATCAAAAATAACTGAAAATTTTAGTGGACTACATGTTTATTTCAATGAGATCCTTATAAGTGATACAGCCATCAAAAAGTTATAGTAGTGTTAAGTTGTGCAAATAAAAATGACTATACAGCGTTATTGGTCACTTACTGTCAGGCAGTGATCTTGGTAACACATATTCAAATAGTCGTGTATACATAGAAGCAACTCCTGCATTTTATGGGAAAATAACTAAAGTCTTCATTTCCTTAAACTTAAAGATTTTAAGATTAATGATATCATCATCATAGTCATTTTCTTCTCCATTAATAAAGTTAGGCTTGGAGGAAAAAAAAATGAGTGCTGACTTCCTTCTGGAGCTATTCTGAACAGCAAAATAAACCATCATCAGGTGAACAGACAACCTACAGAATGAGATGAAATTTTTGCAATTTATCCATCTGAAAAAGTTTAAAATCCATAATCTACAAGTAACTTAAATAAATTTACAAGAAAAACAACAACCCCATTAAAAAGTGGGCAAAGGATATGAATAGATACTTCCCAAAAGAAGACATTTATGGAGCCAACAAACATATGAAAAAGAGTTCAACGTTACTTATCATTAGAGAAATGCAAATCAAAATCACAATGAGATACTATCTTACACCAGTCAGAATGGCTATTACTAAAAGGCAAGAATCAACAAATGCTTGTGAGGCTGTGGAGAAATAGGAATGCTTTTGCACTAGGGTGGAAATGTAAATTAATTAAACCATTGTGGAAGACAGTGTGGCGAGTCCTCAAAGACCTAGAACAAGAAATACCATTTGACCCAGCAATCCCATCACTCGGTATATACCCAAAGGAATATAAATCATTCTGTTATAAAGATACATGCATATGTATGTTCACTGCAGCACTATTCACAATAGCAAAGACACAGAATCAACCCAAATGCCCATCAATGATAGACTGGATAAAGAAAATGTGGTACATATACACCATGGAATACCATGCAGCCATAAAAAATAATGAGATCATGTCCTTTTCAGGGACATGGATGGAGCTGGTAGCCATTATCTTCAGAAAACTAATACCAAATACTACATGTTCTCATATACAAATGGGAGCTGAACAATGAGAACACATGGACACAGGGAGAGGAACAAAACACACTAGGGCCTGTGGGGTGGGGTCTGGGGCAAGGAGAGCATCAGGACAAATAGCTAATGCATGTGGGGCTTAATACCTAGGCAATGGGTTGATAGGTGCAGCAAACCACCGTGGCACATATTTACCTATGTAACAAACCTGCACATCCTGCACATATATCCCAGAACTTAAAATTAAGTCAAAAAAAAAATAGTCTGGTAGAGAAACATGTCAATTCTCTCATCATCATTACAAAGGAGTCTTCACCAGGAAATTGTTGTTCAATTTGAACCCTTTTCTATATTGATTCTTTTATAATTATGTTAAGAAAATTCACTCTCCACATTTCAAAGCTGATAACATTACCTATTTTGAAAGGATTGCCTATTTATTTTGCCTTTATCAGCAAGAGAAGCTCATCCTTAATGCCTATCACTGGGCCAGGCATTAGCAGAAGCTTCTTAAATACAATAGGATATGCCTGAGTGTTTTTCTTATCTGGGATCAGTGTTTCTTGAGAAGTACCTACAGAGATACTCTGAACTACTTGTGAGTTAGTATGACGATAGCAAGCATCATTAGAGGAATTAGAGTAGATAATCGGTCTGCATGCACCAGAGAGGTGCAGTTATGTGATGTGATGGAGCTACCCAGAACCAAAAATGACAAATTAGAGTTACCGTGTTGTGGGGCCTCTTGAAACACTACAGAACAGTCCTAGTGAGGACGGGTCAAGAAAGACTCTGCATTGATGAGTACAATGTACCCAGAAAAAAACCTAGCCTGTTGGAAGATGTGTGTGTGTGCGTGCGTGCGTGCGTGTGTGTGTGTGTGTGTGTCAAAAGCATCCAGAAAATTACATTGTTGTGGCTATGAACACTTAACTAGTAAATAAGAAAGACATGGTGGCAGGAAGGAAAAAAAAATTATCCAGAGGGTGTTCCATTCTGCCGTTCAGAACATTGTGGTTGCTCAAATAATATTAATGCTCTATGATGAAGATGGTAGCGAGGATGATGATGATTAATGCAACCCATGGAAATAGGGCTGGGGAGGATGACATGGGCGAGGGACCAGGATAGGGAGGATGACTCACGGGTGAGGGGTACCTGGGGATAGAGCGAGGTGCTGTGCACGTTGGCGCGTGTGGGGGGAGCGGCCGGGGCACGCGTGGCTTGGACCCCCGGGAGTGGGCGGGTGGGTGCCCGTGGGCGGAGCGGCTCCGGGGCTGAGTGGCTGGCAGCAATGTCTGCGAGAGCGGCGGCATCACCCTGGATGGAAGCCTCCGAGACTCCGCCTAACTGACACCCAAACTCTCCCTCTCCCTCCCGCAGCCCCAAACTGGAGGCAGCCGAGCCCGGGAGCAGCCTCCGCGGCGGCAGCGGCAGCGGCAGCCCCAGCCCTAGCCCCAGCCCCGCCCCCGCCCCGTGCACCGCCGGAGACGCCCGGATCGGCGGAGCCTGGCGCGAGCCCTCGCCCCCTCGCCGCGCCTGCCGCGCCTCCGCCTTCCCGCCCCCGCCGGCCGAGGCTGGGCTGCGGGAGGCGGCCGGGCGGCCCCGAGCCTCGCTAGGGCGACCAAAACAAAGGCAGCATCCGGGGCTGGGTGGATGCAAACAACCATGAAAGACTGGGTTCTCGCTCTCCCGGGCTCTGCTGCTGCTGCTGCCGCCGCCGCCGCCGCCGCTGCTCCTCCTCCTGCCGCCGCCGAGAGGGCTCCGCTGTGAGGGGAAGCAGGGGCGCAGCTGCTGGGCGTGCATCCGAAAGGTGAGAGCCGGAGAGCGAGCGGAGGGGGCGGGCAGGCCATGAAAATGTCCTCGGCCGTGGGGCCCCGTGGTCCTCGCCCACCCACGGTGCCTCCCCCCATGCAAGAGCTGCCCGACCTGAGCCACCTTACCGAGGAGGAGAGGAACATTATCATGGCAGTGATGGACCGGCAGAAGGAAGAGGAGGAAAAAGAAGAAGCCATGCTCAAGTAAGCCAGCCCCAGCCGTGCCATCTGTGCCTCCGTGCCTCCATCCGTCCATTCACCACTCACTCCCCCAGTCCTGGTAGCTGAGTGTGGGGAAGGGGCGGCCAGGGTGCTGGGTGCGGGCAGAGGCGCCTGCCTTGGGCCAGGGGCGCGGGCTTGAGCAGGGAAGAGGTCAGGGGACCAGAGGAGGGAGGGGATATGCCACAGAGCCAGGAAAGACCTGGGTGCAGAGGAGGGTTGGGTGGACGGGGGTCACTCTGGTGGTGGGAAGTGCAGAAGCTGAGAGGCGCTGTTCCCACCCAAGTGGAAGGTCCCTGAGCTGGGAGCAGGTTAGGGGGCAGGGGAAGAGTAGAAACAAGGGGAGGCTGGATGAAGAGGTGCTGAGGACAGCTCCTCTTCTCTTCTTGGAGTTGTTTAGCTGTTCGGGGTTACCCCAGTGAAGGGTGCCTATATTTATATCATAAAAATGCTTATTTTTAGTGTTCATTTTCGTAATCATTCATCTCACAGATCAAGGTTGGGTCTTTTTTTGGGCTGTTGCCATCTTTGGCAACCTGCCTCCCCAGCTTCTCTTTAACCTTTTATTCAGAGTCTTCTACACAGCATACCTGTGTGAAGACAGATTTTCTTACCCACATATAATGCTATTGGCAATACAAAGTTTTTAATCATGGGAGAAGCTGGCAGGGACTCTGGCCTAAATAACATAGAGGTTCCTTTTTACTGGTTTCCAAGAGACCTCTGGGGCCTGTTCAGTTCCTGGAGGAAACAGTCCAATAACGGATTGGATATTTGCACTCCTCCTCACTTCTTTAGAGCCCATCAACCATTCAAGGGATCTCTGGTGCCCCATTTTTCTGGGGTCAGGGAGAAGATGGGGCTCCTTGCTGGTGATGCAGGAGTGTGTGACACTGTGCTGCTGCTTGCCTCAGACAAAACTACTTACAAGGGACTGGCAGAGAGATGGGGCTTTCCTTGCTTAGCATCACCCATAGAGTAGTGCTGAAGAAGGCTTCAACCCTGCCTTCTGTTGGGAACTTTCCTTCAGGTATTCAGGAAAGTTTTCACTCTGGGGCAGGGGAATTTAGGGGCCTTCACTGTGATTGACTCCTTGGTGTCTCCTGCTTAGGCTGGAAGGTGTATCTGGGGCCAGGGGATTGGCATGAAGAGCCAATGGGAACCTGTTGCATCTGGAGTTAGCTGATAGCAAAAGAGGGGTAGAGAAGGAGCAGTGGTGACACCCAGACACAGAGCACACTCAGCATGGCCTCTCCCCCACACTCTAGAAGAGCCTCCTGGAGAGAAGATGCTGCCGAGGAAGATTTCTTCCACCTCCCCTCAGTGCAGCAGTGCCTCATAGGAGAGGAATGGGGGGAGGCTGCATTCACAGAATGATGGATCTCCCACCAGGGCAACTGACACACAGATAAGGGAGGGAGATCTTGAGAGAGACATGTGGATGTTAGGTCACAGCAAAATAGTATAAATCCAGTTATTCCTGTCCTTTCTTGTAGATTCAGAAAAGGGCCATTAACTCTGAAGGCCAGAGCTGGCCTGGTTCTATAAAGAGCAGCAGGTTTCTGAATTCCCTGCTCCTTCTCATCCAAAAATCAAGTACTTTAAGCCTGCCGGCTTGAGGGAGGCAGAACCCTCGTTAATCTGCTGCCTGTCCCTAGTGGAAGAATGATGTCCCTGGTGCTGCAGGCTTCCCCTCTTCTGAGACTGGTAGTAATGGATGGTGTCTGATGGTGCTGCTGTCTGTTTGTCTGGTTGTCAGTCTGTCTGTCTTCACCGGTTGCAGCACCTGCCACCTGTCCTGAACACCTTTTCTGGTTGTCAGGATTTACAGGTTTGCTGCTGTTCCTTTTGGTGTTTGCTGCAGACAGCAGGTGGATGGAGGCCTCTAGCAGCTAGTGGAAAATATGGGCGGCTGTTTGCCAGAGTCCGGATAGGAAGGGGAAGGCACAGTGCAAGTAGTGGCCATCACGCTTCTTCATTGGCTGTCTCAAGCGTGGTGTAGAGTGAGGGATTTTAACTGGGAGTGGGTGAGTTTTAGACAGAATTCCAAATCTTCTAATTGCCAAAGGACAGCAATTATAAGATTGTATGGGCTTATGTGGACAAATAAATTTAGGAGCACTGTCCAACTGCCCATGTCTAACATATCTTTTCCACTGCTTTCCCTGTGACTGCTTTCTACTGGTTTGCATATATTGTTCTTTTATTGCATGGATTCACAAAATATCACAGTATGTGATGCTGTTATACAACAGCTGTCTATAGTCCTGGACCTCTGCATTAACTTTATCAATCAGCCTCCTCTGCTAATGTCTTGGCCTTTTGTTCAATGACAGATTGGTGAGTGTTTTGGAATCCCTGTTTGCTGCCATGTAAGCATGTCATATTGTCTGCAATTAGTGTAAAAGTGCTCTTCTTTTTTTTTTATGGGGGATACTTTATGTCTTAAAAACTGGGGATAAGGGGAACTATTCAGATGACACATATATATGGGACTTAATGACACATAGTCATAGATGGTGACCTTTTAAAAACTTTGTGTTAAAATAGGTGGGAAAGCAGGATTCTTTCAGAGGGCTTTAAAATATTGTTACATCAGAGAAAAGTTTTTGTGGTAATTATTGGTGATTATAATCACGTATCTGAGAAATTACTTTCACAAAAGGCCCTACAAAGCTTAAGTTCTGGCAATAGAGCAATTAGACTTAAAATTCACTTTTGTTATCAGTGTAGAACTATCTCCTTAAGCTACCTACTGTGCTTGCTATCTCTCTTTACAACGTGTAAATAGACACAGTGAAAAAATAGAAAATGATGGGTGAATATGAGAAACCAACATTATAAAATATCAATTAAAATGTATTTGTAAGTTTCATTGGCCTTGATTGTAAATTAGTACTTGAATTTGGTTTTGAGAATGTCTTTAAATATGTATAAATGGCAAAAAATCAAGCTATTTACATATCAAGATTTTTGAAAAATTTTACTTGAAATTGAAAGTACTTCATTATAAAAAAAATTCATTTTGTTGGCAAAGTACACTGATTTTAAATTCCATTGCCATATAACTAGAAATAGTTGGCTCTCACAAATTATGTTTGATGATTGACTTAATTATCTGCAAATTAGAGATCTTTTCTTAATAATGTTTTGGATTTGAGTGTGCATGTGTGTGCATATGTGTGCACACACACATGTGTGTTCTGAAGGCTTTCTGAAACCTAACTTCCTCAATGAATATTCCTTCAAGTAACTTTTACTAGACATCATGAGCTAATGTATTACATAGGCCGAAAACTGCGCTATCTGGGACCTAAGTCAGGGAAGATCTCGTTAGATCTAGAATCTTACTCCTTTTTGAAAAAAAAAAAAACTTCACAGAGAAAGCAGCTACCAAATAGTAAGAGAAGAGAAAAAATATGGAGAATTAGTTAAGGTGATGGTTTGAGGATGAGAATTGAGTACCATACTGGCATTTAATGTAAATAGTTAGCATTTATTGAACATTAACCTCATACTAGCTCTTATTCTAAGTTATTTAATCTAAAGCCAAATAGTTAAACTGTGCTCAAGTTTAATATAAGTGTAAATATTTGGATTCTCACAATAGCCTGTGCAGAAGGTAAGCCAGATAATATAATTCTCCCATCCTCACAGTACACTCAGAGAATTTTAGTAATATTCTAAATTGACTCACATAACGTGGGTCCAATCAGGATTCAAAATCAGACCCTTTAGTCAAAATCCAAGTATTTTCCCATACACTACACTGTCTTCCTACCAAGAAGAAGCTTCTGTTTCATTTATCTTTTCTTCAAATGAATTTCTAGTCTTTCCTTAGTTCAGAGAAGTGGCTTGGCAAAAGATTAGGCTGATTCAGATCAGCTGCTGATCACAGCAGAGCCTGGGGCTTCACCTATACCCTTTCACAGAGTGTAAAGATAATAAAAAGCATCACAGTATAGTGGAAAGACCATTCACTTTGTATCCAAGTATTTTTACATTCTAGTTCTGCCACTTACTGTGCAAACGTGGGCAAGAATATTACATCAATATTATATAAAGTTTCATTTTTTCCTACCAATCCTTCAACCCATGGTATGAATTGATTTATAAAGAGTATTGACTTTGGGCTTCTCCTTCTCTTCTTAAAAGGTAACCTACAATTTTCTTTCTAATCATCCGTAATTGCTACTGGTTGTTTTTTTTTTTTTTTTTTTTTTTTTTCCTGGAAAAGAGACAGAAAGTAGAAGGAGAAGAATTCCTGTAACTTCAATTTTCCTCCTTCTTTTTGTTACTTTACACAAATATAATATTGTGGCCTGAAATATATCCATAAGGCTCATTATGAGAGATGCCAGTTACCAACCGGAAAAAGAAGAAAAGTGAAAGGAAAAACTGGGGAAACTTGAAAGGGATGAGGATAGAGTTCCCAAGTATGCAGGAATCATATTTTCATTGGGTTTTGCAAATATTTTAATATCTTACACCCCAAAATATGAGAAAAGCATTATTTAAGTAAATAGATTACTAAATTTGAAGGAGAGCATGGAAACCAGTGTGGGCTGGATGTGCTACTGCTGACTTGACTAATAGAAGGATAATGTCTTGGGAGTGTTATTTGCTTAACTTTTTAAATGAGGAGAACAATTTGTGTAAACTTGTACAGTGAACTTTCTGGAAATATATCAAATATTAATTCCTAAAATCATATTATTATTCTCTCATACCTATAATAAGCAGATGAATGAAGTTGCACTACCACAGATTATATTGTCCGTTGTATTGCATTTCATTTGTCCTCATGGACTGTTTTCTACTTTATACATTTGGTCCTGTGATATCAATTGGGTATTTAAGAGCTGGTCCTGAGGGTCGAAGTAAATTTGCCTGAGGCACGTGGCAGCTGCTGTAATGACTCCAGAACCCATGTACACTGACCTCAAACCATTAGTGTTCTTTTAAGTCTTTAAAAAGGTACATTG